TGGAATTTCACTTGGTGACACGTATCTCGGCGTACTTTGAAGCCAGAGTTAAAGTCTCAACAAAGGAAGCTACTGTGGAATTTAAACTTTCCAACCGTGATTCAGTTTCTCAGCTGGCTTTCCCTTTTACTTTTTATGCGTTTTTGTACGGATAGCAAAATTCGAACTTTACGCATACAAACACACAGATAATCTTTCGATAGTATTCGCTTTTGCTTTTGATGCGAAAAGGCATAAAAATGGAAGTGAAAATCCCTTCTAAATTCATCTTTTATAAAATCTTTTATAAAAGCATTTGGATGTAGCGCTGCATAGCAACAGCTGTCCACAGCAACCATATGCTGATAAGGCTGTCAGTGGCTTCGATTTCGAAGATTTGTGTGAAGAAAGCTTACTGCGGATATCCCACTGGTGAAGTCAAGTTCTCCACCTTCAGCACGAGTGAAGGACTATTTCAGCATCACATCCACTGGCAGTGATAACAAAAAACAAATAATCCCAGTAACTGTGAAAAGGTGTTCCAAATCGCATGCTCACTGGAAAAGCGGAACTACCTGCTTTATTTACCTTAGTTATCTTTTCAGCAAACTCATTAGCCAAGAATTATGTTATTTTTTTCTAATAAAAACTCAAATCAGATATGAAGGAATAGATATTCTTGCAGTTACCTGGAATGGACGAGACACTATCAAAGATCAACGGCAGAAACCAGCATGTGTGATTTGTGCAGATACGTGCATTCTTGCCGTGAAAACGGAACATCAAAGACTGTGTCGGATATCAGCGCATGGTGGTATCGCGACAAGCAGTGCATTTCAGATTATGCCATGAAGTTTTTGGAAAATCAAAGAACAACAAAAAAACTACCAGTTATGGAGGTCGAATAAACTCAAAGTATTCATGAGCAGTAATTTCCTCTATTCAAAGCTGAAACAAACATTTTTTTCCCGAATGCGAAAAATTTCCAAGACGGAGACATCGAAGATTGACCAACGATTCAATTTCACTGCCCTCCAGCATAAATGGAAAATTTTATTTTTGAAATATTGAAAGAAACTGTAGTCTGAATCCCTGT